TCCCCTGTCAGACAGCTATTCATGACATTTTTAGATCCATAATTTTTTTTTTATCTATCTTTTGTCTGACTTATGATGTATGTATTGTGTCTCTGTTTTCTTCAGGTGTTCTCTCCTCTGGGAAATATCAAAGAAGCCATAGCTGACATTAAAGTTGCCTTGGATCTGAGGCCAAGTTCTCAGTTGCACATTATGAGTGGTACACTGCTGTTTATGCAGGAGGTGAGATTAAGGTTGGGGGGAAGAATTCTGTCTTGAAAGGCACTTGCCCCCATAACCCTTCACTCCCTAACATCAGTATTCATATTCTCCATACTGTTCTCTATATGTTTCCTAAGGTGCTGACAAGGAGAATTTGTTGAACAATCAATAGCCTCTTTAGTTGGTGATCATTTCCTTTATTCTTGTGACCCTAATGTGTGATTCAGGGGTGATATTGTGAGGAGAAATTAGATTCTGGTCACTCTCAGGGGTCAAAAGGTTAAAAAAGGAAAACCCACTTCGTAGGGAGGTCTCATGCTGCAAGTAGCATCAATTGGTAGCAATTGTTGTCAATGATGATGCTGTGGACTGGCAAAAGGTTGGGAATGTATTTTAAGCTTAACCCTCTAACTCCCAGAAGTGATGAACATACAACTTCTCCTTATAATGTCCATACATTATTCAGCAAACAAGTAATGAGAATATTCAAACTTGTCAGTTAGAAGTTGCTATAATCTTCATCTAACACCGAAATCATGTAACAAATTTATGAGCAAATGTGCTAGTGGGGAGAATTAACAATCAGATCATGTGAGTTTAAGGGTTAAACCCTCACCATGTCATTACATTGTTTCAAAATTCTATTGAAGGACAATATTAGATAGTTGTGTTAAAATTAATCATTGAATGTTTGGTTTTGTTTAGGATTATGAGGCAGCATCTAAGAGTTTTGAAAAATGTTTAGAGATTGAGAAGAACCAGCCTACAGCTATGTTATATAAAGGTTTATCGTTATACCACAGGGGGAGAGTGAAGGTAAACCAAAGATCAATTATGGTGCAGTATGTCAGTCATGAATGCATAAGTTATGATGTTAGTGTGAGTTTTTCCTCCCTTTTTGTATATATGACTGAAATTCTCCCATCTTGTCCATCGTGAAAATCAGTATTCTTTCTTTTCAGGAGTCCATTGAAATCTTTAAAGTGGTTCTGCAAACAAATACGAATCAGGCAGAGTGTCATCGCAGTCTGGGTCATGCCTACAGGTATACCATGGATAAAAGATGTTCATAACAGACCGATAAAAAGACTGGCATTCATAAACTCTGAGACAAACAAATAAACAGACTTGGTCAGTTGACAGAAAGACAGACCAACAGATAGACCAACAGACAGACCAACAGACAGGCCGACAGACAGACAGACAGACAGTCTAAAAAACTGAAAGAATTGTCATCAATAAATAGTTACTAGATAGAAGGAAAATTAATGACAGTGTAGTGACAAACATTTGCCAATAACTTTCAAAAGAGGAAATTAAGTAAAATTTTTATGTAAAAGTACTATATTTTAATGTATAGATTTTATGTTTTATTTTCATTATTAGTTAATTCTGGAATCTGTATTAATGCATGTTGTAGGGAAGTAGGAGAGCCAGAACTTTCTCATGAACATTTCACATCAGCCATCAAAATAGAGCCAACTGTTGCACAGGTTTGATGGTTTTGTTTTTGTTGTTGTTGTTGTTGTTGTTGTTGTCACAGTTGTGGTAGGGAAAGGCAGCCATAAACAAAGACAAGACAGGACCAGACAAATGCATCATGCAGCAAACTGATCATGTTGTTAAGAGGAAAAAAAACAGAGTTGACTTGTCTTTATATCACAACTCTTTATTCAATCAATCTGACTCTGGCCTCTTTCTCTGATTTTTAACGTATCATCCACATCTATTCCGCCCAACCCGTACCATTCCGATCCATTCCATTCCTTCCCATCCTTCGTTCTTGCCTCGGCTTATCTTTCATTTCTTTCTTCAATGTTATCCCAATCCATCATACTCTTTTGATTATGGGCTATCTTCTTTTAAGTAGCGTGTATGTGTCACTCTATTGACAAAATGTGCTTCTCTTTCAGAACTATCACTCCAGGGGAATCCTAAATTATATGCGTGGAAGGCCCGACAAGGCAGTATCAGATTTGAAGGTATGTGATGTAATTTTTACGAAAAGTAGGTGAATGAATAGAACGATGTTGATAATGAGAGACGCTTTAAAATAATTTAATTTTAAATGATAAAGCTGTCAGCTAGTAAACTTACTTTCACAATGTCAAGTTATCCATGTTCAGCGCATTTTTGTTAAGTAAAAAAAGTTCACAATACATCATATTTTGCTGCCATTTAAAATTTCCCTTCAATCCTTGCCAAGTGTGCTTGTCAAGTCCTCTACAGGTTTTATTTCGCCTACTTTGTCGGTGCGATGTTGCGCAGTCCTTTTTAACTTCGTTCCTGACTAATTTGGTGTTGCCATTGACGTTTTCCTTGCAGGCATGTCTGAAATATAACCCGGGCAGTATCTCTTGCAAGTATTGGAAGGGAGTCAGTCATGCTGCGCTGGGAAACTTTTTCGAGAGCGTAAAATCAAGCACCCAGGTCTGTGATAAAAATTGCAATAGGAATATGCGATGCGATTAACTCTTAAGTCATCCAATTTCTCAGAAAGTTGTTTGAAATGGTGAAATAATAGTTGCAAAAATCCTTTTATAAAAAACAAGCTAGAATCCAACACCGTTAAAAATAATGTGTTAATAAAAGCATTTGAAAATTAACTTCAACGTTTGGCTTTGATAACGATTTCGGAACCACTCAAATTCCCAAACATCGGAGAACCAAGGTAGCTCAATAAACTAAGAAAATTGTTGATTTATGAATAATCTTTCTTTATGGAACATGAATAAGAGAAAGACGACATCAGTGTTAAGGTAATAAATTGAGTCTTGTCTTTATAAGAAGTTTTTTTCAATTTGCAGATCCTGCTAGACGAGGCAAGCTCATCTCCCTTGCAAAATGTGGATGTGATAAAAAGTTATTATCTCAAAGGTAAACATTGATCATTTTGTCATAACATGAGGACATGATGTATCATTACATTAACGGTATTTTTACGTGGGCGAGAGGAATTTCTTTTCCTTTCTTTTTTTGTTATTGTGGTGACATGAAAATGGCGAAGCAGTAAGCGATACCGACTAAACAATAATATTCTGTTTAAGTACTTTTGATTGGTTAAGAAATAAAGCAAGATCAAAGTGGTGCTAAATTAACCAATCGGAAAAGACAAGTTTTTCGACCAATCACAATTCCTTAAAGCGACAGGTAGCGTTACTTGAATGCGTGTATTTTCCTGCGCTTTTCACTCTTTTTTAGGTTTTCCCGCGCTTTTCATCGGTATCAAGTATACCGCGCCTTTCGCCAACTACTTGTTTTCCCGCACTTTTCATCGGTATCAAGTATACCGCGCCAGTCGCCAACTACTTGTTTTCCCGCGCTTTTCATCGGTATCAAGTATACCGCGCCTGTCGCCAACTGCTTGTTTTCCCGCGCTTTTCATTGGTATCCAGTATCTCGCACTTTTCGGCGGCTACACATTTTCCCGCGCTTTTGGGTCACTGGTGTCATTTCTCAACTGTTTGGCTCTTATTCGTCACTCTTCATAACTTTTCCATTTAGTGAGAGTCCATAACTAGCTTTCATTGCTATTTTATTATCGGCAGAATATTCACGTTATCTTCACTCACACTTGGACACTCCATTGTCGGAATACTCACCGGGCACAGATCTTGATGGAAGATTAAGAGATTTGTGGGTCAAAGGCTTGCCTTTCAATGCCAAGGTATTTTATGATAAAGAACAGTCAGTTTGGACTCTTTTCTTTCTGAGGCGAGGGCACGAGTTGTAAGACCAGCTGTCTCCGTGGAAGAACGCGCGCATGGTAGAAACGCATTCTATTTTTGCGCGCGTGTTGTCTCTCCCGCGGGCCACGCATGAAATCTAACGCGCGAGTATTTTTTAATCGTATTGAAAGCTGTCCTCCTTTAAACACTTCTTTCCCTTGTTTTAGCTCATTGCGGGTGAAAAAAAATCGACATTTCATTTGATCTTTCAATTGCAGAATTTTTGTGAGTAAAACAATTCTGCTTTTACGTTGAAATTTGACCATCGTTTGTTGTGTTGCAGAATTACAGTGAACAGCCAGGAATACAGCCACATACACGGTTAGTAAATCGAAATGAATTTATTGAGTTTGTTAAGGACCAGACGTTCTGAGAATGGACAAGTTGTATGGAGAATGTAATGACCTTTCCTTTGTTCTTTGTTGTTGAGTTTTCTGTGGTACTCGTTTTTGAGTCTTCTTCAATTTTATAAAGGGTGTAAGTTTCTAAAGAAACT